CCTCTCTCCTCTCTCCTCTCTCTTCCTCTCCCTCCCTCTCCCCCCCGTCTTCTCTCTCTCCTCCCCCTCTGCCTCCCTCCTCCTCTCTGTCCCCCTCCTCCTCTCCCCCCTCTCCATCTTCTCGTTCCTTTGCTCTTTTCCTGGGACTGACTTGGCCGCCCCAGACGCCCCCCCCCCCACACACACACGCACGCAATATGAGGACTTACTACTGTTTTATTAATAATTATTGAAGCGTCGTTTGAAGTTTGGAATAGCTTGGGGGGGGAAGAAGAAGAAGAAAGGATTGATTGGAAAGTTTATTTTTAAAATCATCTTTGGGATGAATAGGAACCGTTAATTAGGATCGAATTTGTGGCAATAGCTGCAAATTCCAGGAGTGTGCTTTGTCGTAATTAAATCTTAAAACCAAGGTATACTTTGTCTCCAAAAATAGGGAGACAATACCTTGTTTCTAAAAAGGACACAAAATGAACAGATTTCAGACTTGGATTATGCTTATAACCCAAGAAGTGAAAGAATAAAAATCTAAACCAAGTATATTTGACGAATCATTAAAACGGTGAGGGTTTCATTCCCAGTAAGATTTTTTTCCAAACGTTTTCAATGACACCCTTTACGTTCATAAAACCTAATTTTAAAAACTTTTCTAAAGAAATCAGAATAATTTCCTTCTAATTCTCTTTTTACCCATCGCAAGGCTTTCTCTCCTTCGTCCTCCCTTCCCCCTCCGATATGTGTGTGTGAGTGTGTGTGTGTGACCATAGACGACCCATACTAATCAGGTCTCAGAGTAAATAGCAGCGCAAGGCGATCTCAATGTAAATCGCGCTTGTCAGAAGCACAGCCCCCTCCCTCACTCGCTCTCCTCCTCCCCGCGCCATCCCAGTCTGTAGGTAGCTAAGAGGGAGGAGAAAAAAAAGAAAGAAAGAAAAGGGGGGGAGGGGCTCTCCAACCAATGGCGTGCGAGAGGCTTGGCTAACCTTAGCCTCCCGTTTTCTCTCCCCCCATTCAGGGCTCTGACCAGTCAGTCGCCTTTGATTATCAGTTGCCAGCAGCCCTTCTCTTGGCTCCTTGACACGAGCTCCATATAAGGCAGCGATCTCCATAGAAACGTGTCAGTTTCAATAGTAGTGTCAAAGTTCACTATATACAGACATTCGCGCAGATCCCCCTTTCGGAAACATTGCTCTGCGAGTCCTCCCGTTTAAACGCATTCAATTTTGGGGTCTCTCTCTCTCTCTCTCCCCCCCCTTCTCTCCTCTCTCTCTTTCTCTCTCCCTCTCTCTAGCCCTCTCTTCTCTCTCCTCTCTCCTCTCTCGCCTTTCTCTTTTCTTACATATTTTACTAGTTTCCCCCCTTCTTCTTCTTTCTCTCCTTTTTCTCCCTCCTTCTCGTCTCTTACTCCATTCCTGCAGAAGAGAGAGGTCTAAACTTAAAGAAAAAAAAGGGAGGAGGAGGAGGAGGAGGAGGCACCCCCTTCGTATTCTTCTTATCGTTATTTTATACATATACGATTTTTTTTTTTGGAGGGAGGGTGTTGGTTCCCGGCTGAAGAGCACTTATTTAAAATACTAAAAAAAGAACATTTTTGGGCGATCTCCAGGGTTTTTTTAACTAGCTCTGTGTGTTATAGCAGAAGAAGCAGAAGAAGGAGCAAGAAAGAGGAAAAGAAGAGGATTATTTATTCGACCTAGTTTGGATGTCTCGCTCGCTTTTTTCTTTTTCCTTTTTTGTTTTTTCCTTTTCCAAAAAAATTTTTGCAATAATTTTCTTCTGATTTTTATTTTTTTCTATTTCGCTGTGAATTCGTCGCTGGCGTGAATTATCCGGTGTTTTCCTCCCTCTTCCGTCACCTCCCGAAAGAAGGCAGCGAGAGCCCGGCGCCACCGGCACAACAAAAAGAGCAAAGTGTGTGATCTTCCTCGCCGGCCGCCTCCCGCTCTCCAGCGCTGCCTTCCTGAATGGCTGGCTGCGTCCGGCCCTGGACCTGGCCCCCCGACACCCGCGCGCCCTGATCGCCGCCGGCAGCCTCGCCCCGCGCCCTGCTCCGCTCACCGCGATCCCCGCACTCCCGAGCCCGGCGAGGGCTCCCGCCCGGACA